CCTAAACCTAACCCTAACCCTTAACCTAACCCTAAACCTAACCCTAACCCTTAACCTAACCCTAAACCTAACCCTAACCCTTAACCTAACCCTAACCCTAACCCTAACCCTTACCTTAACTTGAATCGGCTTGCTTTCAAAGCGCTATTTAAAGCGCCCTTCTTTCTCCGCGCTCGCTGTTGTCGCCCTGCTGATGACGTCAGCGACGCAGTTTAATCAGGCGCGCTTTAGTTGAGCGCGGTTTTGTCATGCCACGTCTGGATCAGGGCTCTCTTCAACCTTGGCAATGTTAAGCCTAGCGGACTTCAACTCCCAGAATTCCCCAGCCAGCAAAGCTTAAGACTGACGTCCGCCAGTCTTAACGTTGCCAAGGTTGGAGACCCCTGCTCTGGCTGACACCTCTAGAAAAGGTAGGTGGGACTCACCTGTAAGTGCACATAATCATAATCATCCATCCAGCTCTTCTCTAAGCTATTATTGCTGTTGCATTGGTAAGGCTGGTTTTTAGAAAGGAGCGGTGATAGAGAAGTGCAGTGGTCCTGGTTTTTATCTCCAGGGTGCAACGTTAGAGCCTGAGGGTTATCATACACATAATCAGCAGCAGGGTTCATGCCCTCAGGTGCGTTTTTTATAGAGGAGCTGCAAGGTCCTTGTTTGAAGAGCACCTCAGCGTTGACACTGACGCTGGTGGTCAGCTGCTTGGCATCATCTGGGATCGTCCTTGCCACCATGACAAAACGATCCAGGTCGTCACACTTATTCTGAGGCTTGTTGACTGCTAAGACATTCAAGGACCAGCTGCAATGACTGAGGTCGTGGCTAGTCTGGGTCAAAATCTGGTAGGAATCTTCCAGCCTCTGCAGCTCCCTCCTCATTTTATTGTAGAGACTAAGTTCCGGCAGGTAGGAAGCGTTGGCGGTGGCCCCCTTGGCGAAATGGAGGTAGTCGACCAGGGACTGCTCCACTTTGTCAACCGCGGTATGTATCTTGTTGATGTGTTTCTCCATGTTCTCGTACGACCGCCAGTCGGGATGGATGAAGGCCATCAAACTGGAGACAGCGTTTTCCACTGTGTTCTGGTTCCAATAGAGTCTCTCGATGGCCGAGTCGGGATCCAGAACGATTCTTCTGTCATGAGAAGGACTAGCTGACAAAGAAGATTCCTTCGATGTTGTGGAAGAAGTGGACATGTTGCTCCGGGTGCTCCCTGTGCTTGAAAAAGACAGCCGGTTTATCCCATCGGTGACATCCTGTAGCCTTTTAATGTCCTGTGTGACCTGTGGAGGGACGTCATATATTCCTTCTTTTCCCTCTGGATTCAGACTTTCACCGAATGCTAGATGCTGTCCAGGAAAGGGAATTCCCCGAGGGGTGTCATAAATATCTGCCTGGGGAACTATTTGCTGTCCAACAAAGTGAGTTTGGTGGCTCACTGGAACATCATAGAGGCCTTGTTGGAGTGGTGTCAGTTCAGAAGAGATGGCTGCCTTGGCTGTGGAAGGAGGGACATCGTATACACCTTCTGAGCTCGCTTCATGCTTTACGCCAGCAGCCAAATCAGGGATTCCGTCTCTAGCATCCATATCATTTCTGAATGACGAAGAGGGATTGGTACAGATCTGGAACACAACAGGCAAACTTAAGTTATTAGGCTAAAAGAAGTAGCAATAGCACTTACCATAGCGCTTCATAGTGCTTTACAGCGGTTCCCCGACAAATGCGCGCATGGCAAAAGCACGCCGACAAAACCGCGGCGAGAAAACAGCAAGTTTGAAATTGCGCCTACAACAGGGCGCCAACAAACAATGCGAAAACAAGATAATAACCCTAACCCTAACCTTACCTTAATCTAATTGCATTTTTGTCGGCGCGCTGTTGTGGGTGCGATTTCAAACTTGCCGTTTTCTTGCCACGGTTTTGTCGTGCGCGCATTTGTTGGGTCACGCTTTACAGCCATCTCTAAGCGGTTTACAGAGCATATTGTCCATAACAATCTGGGTCCTTGTTTTACTGACCTCACAAGGATGGATGGCTGAGTCAATCTTGACCTGGTCAGGATCGACCTGCTGGCAGTCAGCAGAATTAGCCTGCAATACTGCATTCTAACCACTGTGCCACCACGACTCTTCGTGACATTAAATTATCAAATGCATATATGATTACCATTTACATGGACCGTAAGCAGAGTTACTAGATGGAAGAGCTATTTCTGACCGAATATGGTCAAATCCCCAAAAAATAAGGTAATTGTTTGAAAGTGGCCAGGGAAAGTTGATATTGGCCCGGAAAGCAGTGATTTGAGATGGTTTTCCTACAGCACAGTTAACCTGAACATTATGAAATATATGAGCAGTTGGAGACATGTTTCTGAATTGCAATCTGTCAAACTCAAACAGAAGAGCTCAACAAACATCAAATCTTGTACAGTGGATATCTGGCACAAAAAATGACAACCTACTTACACTTCAAGGATACAATAGCAATAGCAATAGCAGTTAGACTTATATACCGCTTCATAGGGCTTTCAGCCCTCTCTAAGCGGTTTACAGAGTCAGCATATTGCCCCCAACAACAATCTGGGTCCTCACTTTACCCACCTCGGAAGGATGGAAGGCTGAGTCAACCCTGAGCCGGTGAGATTTGAACAGCCAAAACTGCAGTCAGCTGAAGTAGCCTGCAGTGCTGCACTCTAACCACTGCGCCACCTCGGCTCTACACTGACTACTACTTACACTTCAAGGATACTAAGACATGCTCTGCATAAAGACTATTACAAATTGATCCAGTTTAAGTGTCAGCCTAATAGTCACTGACTAAACCCATTCCACCTGACCACTAAACCATCAACATTCTTTGCAGGCTGCTGTGTGGTACCCCTTGAGAATCCTCACCTTTCCACGGTGTAGCTGTTGAGAACTCCCTCAAGACACTCAGTGCCCTGTCCTTTCCCTTGCTCTTTTGTTGCTGTGTATCTAAGTCTGTGTGCGTTTAAAGCTCTTCCCTAGCAATATAGCAAAATTACTTCAGATCAGCAACAATGGAGGAACAATGTCCTTCAATGTTCAATCTAGGAGGAGGAGAAGAAAAAAAATAAAATCCAAGGGTCGGGATGAGGAAAATATTCCTAACAGTGAAAACCTATCAGAGAGAAAAACTAGTAAATTTATTTTAGTTGTGTTATTTTTCTGGAGCAGCAAAACCATGGATCAAATTTTAATGTTAACTGATGTGATGTGCAGAGACTGCAGTAGCCCTTACAACAGGGGTGAAATTCAACAGGTTTTGACAGGTTCTGGAGAACCGGTAGCGGAAATTTTGAGTAGTTCGGAAAACCGGCAAATGCTACCTCTGGCTGAGTGGGGAGGAAATGGGGATTTTGCAGTATCCTTCCCCCTGGAATGGGGTGGGAAGGAAGATTTTGCAGTATCCTTCCCCTGCCACGCCCACCAAGCCACGCCCACAGAACCGGTAGTAAAAAAAATGAATTTTACCACTGCTTTAGAAGTTGGCGGGACAGTCAAAGCCTGCCTTTTTCCTTGACTGGAGCATGTGGAAGGGCCCTCACCAAACCAACTGGACTGATGCCACACGCTACACCAAAGGAGCAATATGAAGAGTCTACATCAGTGATGGGTTGCTAATCCCGTTCGGTTGGAACAGGGTCGGCGACGTCCTCGTGCACGCACGCAGTTCACGCATGCGTCTTAGCGCCTGCGCAATGCTCCAGCTGCTCGCGGAGAATCGCGCAGGCGCTGTATGTGCCATGCGCCTGTGTGGAAGCACAGAAGCCTTTAAAGACCGGTAAGGAGCGAGGGTGGGCGGGTGGGCACTTCGGCGTTCCCGGAAGTTACTTACTTCTGGGTTTACCCGACCAACCGGTCCGTGCGGACCGCCGCGAACCGGTTGAAACCCACCCCTGGTCCACATGATGTGTGAATCCAGTCAGTGTGTCACAGAAGTGAAGTCCAGACAAACTGACTGCACAACCGATGTGCACCCTGATATTAACCTTACACAGAGATTTGTGCTGACGGAGCCTCACGAAAGACTATATCTTCTTCATAGTTTTTGAACTCCCCTTAGATAAGCACAAAGATACAATCAGCCCGTTGCATGTGTACAGATTTTTTTTTTTTAAAAAAACAACAACACTAATTACAAGAATATCTTACATGAGGATAATAATTATGCTCGGCAGTATACCTTTTATAACAGTTATAAAAAATAAACCAAACAAAAAATAAAGGGGCTATAAAGCTCGAGGGGAATGTTAACAGGCCCGGAGTTCAAAGCACTCTGCTATTTCTTCCCGTCTTCTCTTCAATGCAAAATATACTTTTTGTTTAAACACGTCTTCAATCCAGCATGAAATTACATGTTTGCTCTAAATGGAACTTCAATAAACTTACCCCTTTGGTGGGAGGAACGTCGTAGATCCCTTGAGATTTCATATCACTCATTTGAGCTGCTTGTGGAGGACTTTTAACTGATCCAGGGGGGACATCATAAATCTAAGCAGAGAAACAATGCGTTACGCAAAAGCAAAATACATCTTCGGCCTTGATGAAATCTGTCTGGGCTCTCTAATTGATTCCTTGGCAAATGGCATCTCTCGGTAGGATAACTAAAGCTGCTCCAGCCAATAGCCGTGAATGTCTGTCCAATATCTCCTGACAATAAATAAAATGTGTTTATGGTCTCTCAATCACCCCATTCCCCCTTCCATGAACTTTTGAAAAACTGCTTTGATTCATGAGCCAAGGGGTTCGTTTCAGGGTTAGCCCTAAGGCAGTGGTGGGATTCAAATAATTTACCAATCAGTTTTCTCCCCTTATGACCAGCTAGGTAGGCGGGGCTCAGTGGTCATGTGACCATGTGGGCGTGGCCAAGTCAATGTCACTCAGGTCGATGGGCACTTTGCCTTAGTTGTTACAATGGTAATAAGGGTTAACTGGCAGTTTCTGTAAGCAGGGCAATAAAAATTAGGCTAGAAACAACACCAGAATGTTTCCTTCCT